AATATGTTGATGTTTTAGTATTTCGTTGCAACCTTTCGCTCGCCAGAAGACGATTATGTAACCACTTACTTGAGATTTCACTTGTTATAAAAAAGGGCAACAATTTCATCTTAACAATTTGCCATAATAAATCCAAAATTTCCCAATAAATAGATATCCTACTATTTAATATTGAAACTATATCTATCAATAGAGAATTGAGATATTTGTACCCTGTCAAAGTGAAGAAGTTTGGCAAATTGATTTGGAAAAGATTTAATTTTTCTGATAGAATGGAAAAAAAATTCTCTCTATGAAAAGTTGTTGCCATCCGTCTTTTCTGAAACGCAGCGCCTTTTTTTCGATTTTTTTTGTTTTGAAATGAAAAATATTTATCAGAACAGGGAATGTCAACCAAATCCATATTTAAATTAAAATTAGGATATTCATGAAAGTGATTTTCTTCTGAATCATATATATTTCTATTTATATCTGAAAACGGTTGACAATAAGTTGTTTCCAAATTGACTATTTCTTCCTCTGTAGAAGAGGTTCCAAAAGTCTTGAGAATCAAATTAGGCATGACTGGATCGGATTGCCTTACAGAATTAAAAGAATTCTCAAAGTTATACCGTGGATCACTGTTTTTGACAAAATCCTTAAATAAGGAATCAATTAGTGAAATAGTAGCTCTATCCCCAACCCCAAAAAACCTTTCTTTTTTTCCCACCACCTAAAGAAACTTTTTGATTCCCAAGGAACAATCTATTTAGAAATTGCTCATAGAGAAAATACGAATTAGTATTCCGAGCCCTTTCGATAGAAAATGGAAATCTTCTCTTACAATCTAACCAGAAGTTAGAGTTAGGTCGAATATTAAAGAAACAAAGTCTATTTGCTTTATAAAAAGCGGATATCAGTGAACTTCTTTGAAATAGGTTCATGGGATGAAACCCATTACCCTTTTCATCAAAATATTTTTGTCTAGTAAGCAATGCATCAATCCGCCCTTTTGCTATATTATTAAACAAAAAGGGTGATCTCTTTGTTTCATTGATAACAAAGTTCGACGTACCAGACTCTTCCAACAAAAAGGGGTTTAATTTTTTTAAATAAATAATTTTAAAACCTATGGATTCCAACAACTGATTACAAAGTTGACCGTTCGGTCCTTTTAATTCATAGATATAGATTTCGGACCTCTGAACAGGACTAGTACCAAAACTTACAAAGGAAAAACCAAGTGAATTAGACAAAAACAAAAGCAACTTGATCATACAGTGAAATCCCTTCGTAAAAAAAAAAACGAAGTGACTGGGGCAAAAAGAAGAAACGTACTGATTTCGACAACTTGGTAAAAACTAAAGGAATTAACTTATACACATTTTTTTTTACTTTGATTTCTACTTCCCTGCGAACCTTAGACCAATAAATCCATTTCTCAGTTATTTTATCAATAATATAAATAGAGAATTGATAAACTTTCTCAAACATCATTTGCAAATAGCCCTTTCGGACTTGAACATACATTTTAAAAAGTCTTTTCTGCTCATCAAGAAAATGTTTTGAATTTTCTTGTAAACTCTTTGTCCCATTTGACCATTTGGATTTATATGGTTGACCCGTTTTTATTTTAAATGTCATATGAGTTAGATGATTGAGAAGACCCATTTCTTTTTGATCCCCTTGAATTCTCCTAATTCGATATTTGAAATTGCAATTGGATATATTTATGAAAACAAATTGATTCAATAGATTTCTTATGTACACATAGGTATTAGATTGCATTTGAATCAGATTGTGAATCAATATAGATATACATTGATTCACTGCTTCAATCCAGACGTAGTTTTGTCCCGTTCGTTGAAAAAAATAGTTCTTCTCCTTATAACGAAAAAAAATAGGCGAAAGAACCAACAAAGATTGATTTTTCGAGTCAGTCCTAGTATTTAATATTTGATTCAATAATTTGATTTTATGCAATCCATATGAATCTATATTCACAAAAAAAGTAAAGCCCTTATTATAGACTGGATCCGGCTCGCTTATTGTCAGAATAAATAAACCTGGACTTTTTTGTAATTTTTCTTTTGATTTCCAATCATGTTGTAGCACATAGCTTCCTTGTTTACTTTCAAGAAATCGGTTAACAAAATAAAATAATGGAGTTTTTTTAAGAAATCCAGTATTCTTCGAATTTTTTATTTGGGGATCAAAAGAAATAGACTTAATTAAAACAGTTCTTTTTAAATACATAAGTATTCTAAATAGATTAACTATTTCTTTTTTTTTCCGCTTGCCGGACAAAAGAAAGAGATTTATTCCTAAATTTCGGATCCATAGTGGACTTAGCAATAGGAGTTGATCCCATATAAAGTTCTGACCATCTATCAGAGTAAAATGAAGAAAGGGACCTCGGGGCATTGCCCCGAGATTGTTCCCTTTCTTTCGGAAACGGAAGGCTTAGCGTTGGTTTACGGCCTTTGATCTCTTTTTGTTCCGTTTTAAAAAGGTAAGGATCCCAAGAAGTTGATCTTTGTTTTCGTTGTTTAATTTCTCTTTGATTGATTAATTTAGAATATTCCGAATCCTCATTTCTAATAGAATCCAAAAAATTTCTATCCAAGGATCCTTTCGGTTGGCCGAAATCTTTTACTTGTAAGGAACTAGATCTTGTGGAATTATAAGGAAACTCAAGCGATTTTTTCTCTTTTAAGAATACCAGATTGAAACCAAGAAGTTTCATTGGAATTTCTCTAAATTCCGTTCTAGTTCGTCTAATAATTTCTCTAATAAAGTTTTTCCCCTGCGGCGAATCTGACTTTGATTGAGGCATGTTAGGGTTTTTTTTTTATTGGTAAAACCCGAGTATTATAGTTTGGATTCATTAAATCAATATCAACTTGATTTTTGCCTTTTGGAAAAGAAAGGAGTAAAATACTTAATCGATTTAGAGTAGAATAACCACTATCTTGATCAGTTATGGATTCACTGCAATTCATCGGTATAGGAAAAAGTCTTTTTAAATAGAGATTCTTTCTTTCAACCATATTTTGATTGCTAATACGATATATAAATATAACAACGCCAACGAAAACTAGTAAAACTCCCTTAATCTTGATTGATCTATTTCTTTTTGAACCTTGCAAATTAGGTGAAAGTATAAGACTCCAAATTTGTGGGTCAAACAGTTTTAAAAATCGTTCTTGGGAGACTAAAATATGAATTGAAAATCCGATTGCATTCAATTGGGTCCATGAATCTAAAAAATATTTTGATTTTTTAATCTCTCTCAGTATCTCTCGTAACTCGAAAATCCAGAACTTTTCTGGCTTAGGATTCATTTCATACCTCCCTAAAATTTTTGTATAAAGTATTAAAAAGTATTAATACTTTTATTATTGTATTCTATATTGTATATCTATTATATCATATTATTATTATATATAAATATAATATTATATAATTAAATATTAAATATAGAAGATAAAAGAAATATAGAAGATAAAAGAAATCTAGTTTTTGTTTAGTATTTCAGATTTCATAAATTCTTTATCTAAACGACATTTTTTGCTGTAATTCAATGTAATTAAATATTCCAAGATTAAAAATTGCCATAATTATTCTATTTTAATTTTCAATTTTGATAGATGATGGTCTCGTTTAAGCATCCATAGCTAAGTGGTTAAAGCGCCCAACTCATAATTGGCGAAGTCGTAGGTTCAATTCCTACTGGATGCACATTATTAGTCATTTACACAAAACAAAATATTATTGACCCTCCAATTCTTCTTTTTGTGATATTTTAGGCTATATGATATATATTAACATAGATCTACTTTGAGCATTTCCTTCATAATCCATATCAAATATCATATAAGATATATATGCTCCTAGATAAATTTGTCCATATCAAATCAATCAAATATCATATAAGATATATGTTCCTAGATAGATTTTATTTTGACTATTTCCATTTCATATATCATTTTCATATATCATAATAGATAATTCTAGGATACCAATACATATAGAGAATATATATCTATATTAGATATATATATATATCTATATATATATATAGGAACACTTAATATAGGAACACTTATTCACAAAAACATTCTTTACTCGAACTAACTAGTTTCAACTTAAACTAATACTCAAATTCGGGATGGAATAAAAGATATAGTATTTACAGAAAAACGGATTTAGTTATTAAAATATTAAAAAATAATAAATAGTTTTTTTATGTCCACGTCATAAACTTTGAGTAGTGCTACGCTTCTGGCAAAGGGTCACATAATGGTAGGCCCTCCCTATTAGAGGACATATAATGCAATGGCTACCGCAGAGAATTAGACGTATGCCTCCAAACAAATAAACTTTCAATCCAAAATAAAAATCATTAATATCATGGGAATAAAATTATACAAAACTGATAACCCGAGCGAAACCGTAAACAGCCCAAAATTTGCTCGAAGGAAAAATTTGCTCTCTGGAAAGCATCATTGTGGTAAAGGTCGTAATGCTAGAGGAATCATTACATCAAGGCATAGGGGGGGGGGGTCATAAGCGCCTATACCGTAAAATAGACTTTCGACGGAATGAAAAAGACCTATATGGTAGAATCATAACCATAGAATATGACCCTAATAGAAATGCAAACATTTGTCTAATACATTATCGGACTGGTGAGAAGAAGTATATTTTACATCCGAGAGGGGCTCAAATTGGAGATACGATTGTTTCTGGTACAGATGTTTCAATCAAAATTGGAAATACCCTACCTTTGACCGAAATCCCCTTAGGCACGACTATACATAACCTAGAAATCACACGTGGAAGGGGTGGACAATTAGCTCGAGCAGCGGGTGCAATGGCGAAACTGATTGCAAAAGAGGGTAAATCAGCCACATTAAAATTACCTTCTGGCGAGGTCCGTTTTATATCCCAAAATTGCTCCGCAACAATCGGACAAGTCGGAAATGTTGGGTTCAACCAAAAAAATTTGGGTAGAGCTGGAGCTAAACGATGGCTAGGTAAGCGTCCTGTAGTTAGAGGAGTAGCTATGAACCCCGTAGACCATCCACATGGGGGCGGTGAGGGTAGAGCCCCTATTGGGAGAAAAAAACCTACAACCCCTTGGGGTTATCCCGCACTTGGAAGAAAAACTAGAAAGAGGAATAAATATAGTGAGAAGCTCATTCTTCGTCATCGCAGTTAATATAATATATTATAGTATCAAAATTAATAGAATAGAGCAAATTAAATTTCTTCATTCAATTATATGAAAAATAAAAAAATAAAAGAATAATAAAATTTATAGGAGTAAACTGTGGCACGTTCACTAAAAAAAAATCCCTTTGTATCTCAGAATTTATTAAAAAAAATTGAGAAACTTAACATAAAGGGAGAAAAAGAAATAATAATAACTTGGTCCCGGGGATCTACTATTATTCCAATAATGATTGGTCATACTATTGCGATTCATAATGGGAAAGAGCATCTCCCTATTTATATAATGGATCATATGGTCGGACACAAATTGGGAGAATTTGCAACTACTTTAAATTTTCGAGGACATGCAAAAAATGATAATAGATCTCATCGGTAATGTGAATACTAAAAAATATCTTGATGCTTATGAGTCATTAGTAGGAGGCAAACTTTATGTACCAGATGCTAAATAAAAAAACCCCAGAAGTATACGTTTTAGGTCGACGTATAGCTATGTCGGCTAATAAAGCAAGAAGAGTTATTTATCAAATTCGTGGGCGTTCCTATGAGGAAACACTTATTATATTAGAACTCATGCCCTATCGTGCCAGTTATCAAATTTTAAAATTGGTTTATTCAGCCGCATCAAATGCTAGTTACACTATGGCTGCAAATAAAGCAAATTTAGTTATTAGTAAAGCTGAAGTGAATGAGGGGACTGCTCGAAAAAAATTAAAACCTCGGGCTCGTGGGCGTAGTTATCCAATAAAAAGACCGACCTGCCATATCAGTATTGTACTAAAAGATATTTCATTCAATGATTCTGAATCTGTGGAGCTCGGTTTGCTAAAAAAACCACAAGCGAAAAAAAATTCTAGAACTAAAGCATATTCTGATATCCAGAATAGGAGGTATTTATGGGACAAAAAATAAATCCACTTGGTTTCAGACTTGGTACAAACCAGGCCCATTATTCACTTTGGTTTTCAAAACCAAAAACGTATGCTGAAAATCTGCAAGAAGATCAAAAGATAAGAGCTTTTATCAAAAATTATGTACAAAAAAATAGAATCAAACCCTCGGCTACCGAGGGAATTGCAAGTATATATATTAAAAAAAGACTCGATCTAATCCAAGTCATAATATATATGGGATTTCCAAAAATATTTATGGAAAATAGCCCACAGGGAGTTGAAGAATTACAAAAAGCTCTACAAAAAAAATTAAATTTTGTAAACCGAAAACTGAATATTGCTATCACAAAAATTGAAAAACCGTATGGAAATCCTAATATTCTTGCCGAATTTATAGCTGGACAATTAAAGAATAGAGTTTCCTTTCGAAAAGCAATGAAAAAAGCTATTGAATTAGCTGAACAAGCAGATACAAAAGGAATTCAAGTACAAATTGCGGGACGCCTTGACGGAAAGGAAATTGCACGTGTGGAATGGATAAGAGAAGGAAGAGTTCCCCGACAAACTATTCAAGCTAAAATGGATTATTGTTGTTATTCAGTTCGAACTATCTACGGGGTTTTAGGCATAAAAATTTGGATATTTTTTGATGAAGCTCAATAAAATTTTATTCATTCTTTTTACCTGTAATACCAAGCGGCCCATTTCACAAATTATTTTGTGTAATGAGCAGGAACAGTTCTAATTGATTTCTAATTGATAATAATGAATTCTATAAGGTTGAATAAAAATTTTATTTATTTTTTAATAAAAATATCATTGCTATGCTTAGTGTGCGACTCGTTCATTTTTTAAGGTTAGCATGAAACCAAACCCAAAGTAACAACTACTCACTCGAGAAGAAATTACCTAATAACTAACTCATCAATTTCGCATTATCTGGATCTAAATAACCAGTCATGATATGATTAGCGCTCATATCGTTGTAGCAATTGCCATTTATTTGCATAAACAAAAATTATTCAAATATTATTGAAGTTGCCAAGCAAGATATAAAAAAGATGTAGATAATTGGAAGGGAGAGAGAAAGGAAGAAAAATAAGCTCAATGATTGAAAATTCCAATATGTAGGGTCTAACAAAATAGGCAATGTAATGAAGCATTAATACTTAAATTCTGCATATTCAAGTATTTGAAATAGAATAAAAAATCTAAGAATATTCAATAATAAAAAACAATATACTCTTATTATAGAAATTAAATTATAGAATAGATAATTATTAGATAAATTTAAAGTAAAGAGCTTAAAGCCAATAAAGACTAAGAAAAATGGCTCAAGACTCAAATTATTCATATATTACTATTTGAGCTCCATTGTAAAATTAGGACCTAACCATTAAGTAAGAAGTGATGGGGACGACGGAACTTATGAATAAAAAAGATTCAATTTAAGATTAAATAAAAAAAATCTTAAATATTCACTGGCTGGGATGGCGAAATAAACCAATGTTAAATTATTTGATTTCTAGATAGTAGCTAGAAGATGTAACAGGCTCGTCCTAGAAATGAAATCTAAATTGACAGAGTCAATATTCGCCCGCGAAAACTTTTTGCAAAAGAATCAAAAAGCAATATAAAGACAATATTCAAGAATAGTCAAAAAGAAGGATTAGTTAGACTCAGAGAATCATGAAAAAAGTGTAGAATAAGTCATTTTATTTCAAATAGATTGAAAAAAAATATCACTCAATTCCTAAATATTATTTGGACTTCTCAGTCCATATTATTATTATAGATCTTATTATCTATATTTAGATTTGTAGTATTTATCTTAGTATCTATCTTTAGATTGAAGATTTAGATATCTTCACTATGATTAATCAATTTTAGTCAAAAGCTCATTTTGTAAATCCTTTATTCGTAATTCGCGAGGAGCTGGATGAGAAGAAACTCTCACGTCCGGTTCTGTAGTAGAGATGTAATAAATAAAAATCCATCAACTATAACCCCAAAAGAACCAGATTCCGTAAACAACATAGAGGAAGAATGAAGGGAATAGCTTCTCGAGGTAATCATATCTGTTTCGGTAAATATGCGCTTCAAGCACTTGAACCCGCTTGGATCACATCTAGACAAATAGAAGCCGGCCGACGGGCAATGACACGAAATGCACGTCGTGGAGGAAAAATATGGGTACGTATATTTCCTGATAAACCAGTTACTGTACGACCCGCAGAAACACGTATGGGTTCAGGAAAAGGATCCCCTGAATATTGGGTTGCTGTTGTTAAACCCGGTCGGATCCTTTTTGAAATGGGTGGAGTAACAAAAAATATTGCCAGAAAAGCTATTTCAATAGCAGCATCGAAAATGCCGATACGAACTCAATTCATTATTTCGGAGATAGAATAGAAAATATCACTCTAAAACTACCCCAAAGAATCTTAAGAATGAAACAAAAACAAAAAAATAAGTTTCGTTTTATGTTTGTGGACAAAAAATATTTCTTTTTTTCTTCGCCCTTTGCATTGTGAAAGAAAAGAATA